ATTTAAGATTGACTGCTCCTTGATGCACCAGGCATAACCTCTCATTAACTTCAACAGGAGTTACATGCGCATACTGATCGGAGAATGGATACTTTAATTTATAGTTATAACTCACATATATGATAACCAGCCATATACAATGTTTCCACAATCCAAGAGACTGTTAATGTACAATACCTGTGTAAACCGATTAACTGAATAGCATACTAAGAAGATTTTTTTTTAAATTAATTTCTACAAATTGTATTGTTATAGAGATGCAACTGGGTAGGCTTGTCACCACACTTAGGTGTGATAACAGTTTTCTTCACAAAGCAGCACATTTTCCAAATAGGAAAAGCTTGAGGGTAAGTCATAAAGGATTATAGAATTGGATAGGCAACAATGTACCTCAAGCAAAGAGATAATGACATTACAGATTCTTACATAGCTCTTTCTAATCACACTGAAGGTGACATATATTTCTTTGAAAAAGCATCCAGAATATTTTAAATATCCCATTCTTCAGACATCATCTTTGCGTAGCAAATAAAAGAGAAACCAGTGGACATCAACAGAACCAAAAAAAAAAAACCACAAAAAAAAACCCTCCTCTAAAAATCTCACACGCATGCCTAAAAGTTTCAGTGGATGAAATCTGCCCTAATATCTTTTCACGTGTTTCCCATTATTTTGCATTATAAAGCAAAGTGGAATATAACATACAAAGATTAATTGACAAGCAATACTGCATAATAGAAAATTATTACTTCTAGTTTACAATTATGATTAGGGAGCCAATCCTCCAAGCTGCTGATTGCTTCTGTGATATGCTGAACTTCCTTAACTTGTATTGTCTTTGCTGGAAGTTAAGGGTGTTCATCATCTCACAGGCAGTGTTTAGCACCTTGAAGATCAAGTCATCAGATCCCGACTGAGCAAAGCACTTGCCTAAATCCATGCCTGTTCAGCAAAGCACTTATGCATATGCTTAATTTTAGGCAAATGTTTAAATCCCACTGAAGATAATGGGATTTAAGCATTTGCTTAAAGATAAGCATGTGGTTAAGTGTTTTGCTGAATAGGGATGGACTGCTAAATCAGGGTCTAAAATAATATACTATTTTGGACAGAAACTTCATATTAATAAGACAAGAACAGCCTTGAAAGAGGCTCCTTTAAGGTAATTGGGGGGGGGGGGAGGGAATAGAAATTTGTTGTAAAGTGAAGGTTAAATATGATGTGTCATAATGCTATAATATCTAACTAAACTTTATTAAAAGTAAGTAGTGTATCCAATACAAAATTTAGTTTTAAAATCTATTATTTTTAATACTTATGCCAAGAGGTGTTTTTGTTGTTGTTGATTTTTGTGGTTTATAGTGTCTCATATGGTACTGCACCAAACAAAATACCCTGAAGAACTAAGTATGAGGTACTAAACTCTAAAACTAAATATATGTTGCCTTGAAGAAAAAAAAGTACAGCACAACACAAAATCAGAATGGAAAGACATTACCTGTGTACTCACTTGAGCACACCATTTGGTCCTGTAAATGGAGACCTTTCCCCTGGCAACAATATTGTGGGTATGAAGATGTATCAATTACTAAGTCTAATTACATTAATGGATAATGGATATCACCCTCATCTACTTCAGGATGGGCACTTCCTGGTTTGTCTGTTTACTTGTCTTTAAAACTTCATGCACTTTCTAATCTCTCCATGGAATAAAGGCAACTGTCAATGAGTAAATGAGGAAAGACATGCAAGTTTCAGCTAATCTCTTGCTCTAATATGCATGTGAATGTTCCACTTGTTTTACCTTGTATGTACAATTAAACTATGATAAAATTAATACTATTTGATAGTAGCTGATTTCTAAATGGGTCACCTTTCCTTCTAAACAAGATACTGAGCATGAACACCACCTGGTTTAAGTGTTCAAGAATATGAATACCTACTCTGGTGAGTCAGTCAATGCTCAAATGGTAATGTTTGAGATATGAAAAGTTCAGGTTATTTATATAAACCTCCGCCTGATATACTCATTATTATGTTAAAATAAAATTAAGAAAAAAATAAAAGCACAAGAGCACATAAATGTCACTCATCAGCAAGTTAGCAAGTGCCCATAGGATGGCTGTAATAGAAATAGTCTGCCAAAAAAAATCTATCCTGTAAGCTTTTATTTAACATTATTCTTGCTGTCCTGAGTCAATACCCACTGTCCTGTCTTTAATTTATATGCATGTTTGTGTGTGTATGCTGACCATTCTGAGAAGCTATTTATTTTATCCAAAGAAAACTTCAGTTACAATACTTATAAAGATATTAAACCAAAATGTTGAATAATGTCAATTTTTAGTATATTTTAAAATAACTCCTGTGTTAAGACGTTAAAATATCAGCCATAAATTACTCAATTATATTGATCTTTATAACCAAACTACTTTCACAAAAAGCTGTCAGACATTAACTGAGACACGGGTATGGGGGGAAGGGAGCTGTTTTAAACTAGATAAGTTAAGAGTTTTTCTTGATGTGTTCCTTCCACTTTGATTATTGTATGTAAAAGTGTAGTAAGCTATTTTCTTCTCCCAGGACATCTCATAATGTATTGTACATCAAAAATATTTCCTGGGAAAATATTCTAAATAATTTAATAAACAAGATACAATCAATATATTTTTGCACAAAAACCTCAAAGAAAGCACGTATCAGCACAAGTAGTCATTTGTATAGTCTAATCTCTTACCAATTCCTACATTTAACACACAAGCCATTTTTTTCACCAAAAACAAATTATACTTTTGACAGTCTTTAATTCATATTTTGAGATGAATTCTGGCAGCAAGAAAGATTTAGTATCTGATTAACATGGATTATACCTCATGTTGGCATAATGATCACTAAAAAGGCATCATCTACTATGTGTTTAATAAACCTTAGTGGATGGAAGCTTGTGAACTTTTCTACTATTTTACATTTTATATAGGCAATATTTTCAAAAGTAAATTTATAATGGTCTCCCTGGGAGAAAGTTAATGAAATGTTTTGCCAAAAAACTACTATGTCAGATGTTCTGTAAAACATTAGTATGACTAGTAAAACAACATACACAAAAAATATTAGCAAATATTACATCAATCATACCAGTTTTGTAGCTCAGCTGAAAGAATGAATGGCTCATGAAATTCACTTCTACTTACAATATATTATTCCACCATGCAGAATGCAAATACTGGTTGCATATTATAAAAGTCAATTTTAGTACACAAACAGACATCTCAAAGTATAAACATGTAGTTGTGTACCATATCTGCATGTTAATAAGTGGGAAAGAAAGCATTTTTGTCAAATTTGTCAGATTTTCCATGTTCCAGACTTGGCACCATATTTGCATGAATCTACATTCATTTATCTATAGTATCTTGCATAATGTGCAGAATAGTTGAGAAAACTTTCAGAACGTTCATCTTATGCAGATCCTCCTCTCCCCTTCCCCCCCCCCCCCCATGATAGTACCAACTGCAAAACATTTTTCTCAGCATATAACCTCCCAACAAAGTAAGTCAAGGAAAATGATCTCAGCTCAAAATTCAACATATGCTTTATAAAATAAAAATATAGGTTTGAATTATAATAATAGACTGATTCTCCACTATGTTACACCAAATTGGTGTCAGGTATTACACTGGTATCTTCCTTTTATACTGGCAGCACTCCATTGACTTCAATGACTGATTTACATCAGTGTAAGTAAGATCAGAATCAGTCACTTGTATCACTTGTAAGTTCAGAAATATTTTACTGAGTTGGTGATACCACAGAAGTCAGTATCATCACTACTGACATTCAGATACTACTCAGTGCGATTGAGGGTGGCACAATTGGGGCCTTTTGAATTTAATATAATATCCTCCAAACCAGTTAAACTATTATAGAAGTAGGGGCCAATTCTGAGCTCACTTGCACTTATCAAGAGTCAGTCTTCTGAAATCAATGGTATCAGTGGTATAAAGAAAAAGATATAAGTGGGATCACAATCAGGCACATATATTATAGAGAGATCTGAATCTTAATGAATTACCCATAATTAGATCCCCCAAACTTTTAATATCATGGCTGCAAAATCACACACATGTATTCACAAAGCCATAGAGAGTGTGAATGAAGTCAGAGGACAGCTCCCTCTCTCAGTAGGACCCTGCTGCCTGGGTGGCAGGAAAGAATTCTCTCTCTCAATGGAACCTTGTTGTCTAGTGGATGCACCTCCCTCTGAAAGAAAGACACTGATGGCTGCCTGTTTCAAAGGGACTCTGGTGGCTGGCTGGGCATATGTGGGTGGTGGTGGCAGTGGGTAATGGGGATGTCTCCGTTTCCCTTACCTGCTTGTTGTGCTTACTACTGGCTGGTTATCTGTGGCTTGAAGACTGTGTGGTGAGGGGGAGGATGTCTGCAGCTCCCACGTTGTGCTGGTTGCTGGCTGGATGTATGTGCTGGGGGCTGATAAGGACGTCTCAGATTCCCTTCTAGGGATTTTTGGCTTGGAGGGAGGGAGCCCTCGATTGCTGGCTTGGACGGAGGGAGCCCTCTGCCCTCACTCTCATAACCTATACAGTATTTGCTACAGGCTGCCTCCTGTATTTGTGAGGCATGGGAGGAGGAGTAATTTTAGTGGGGAGTCCCAGACTCCTCTATCTGCTCATTACTTACTGCCAGTTAGCTGGCAGGCTGTGTGGCCTGAGGGAGGGGATGGGGTGTCTTTGGTTTCCTTACTTGCCAGCTGTACTTGCGGCTGGCTACACTGTCTGCCTGCAGGGAGGAGTAGGGAAGAGTAGGAAGGAGGTCCCCTGACTCTCTCCCTCGCTTACAATACTTGGTGCTGGCTAGAGGGCTGCCTCTGTCTGTGTAACAGGGAGGGTCCCCAGCTCCCACACCTACTTGCTGGGGATGGGAGGGCTAGCTGTATGGAAGTGCGGTTGGAAGTAGTTAGGAGGTGAGCCCAGCACCCTTACCTGCTTGCTGTACTTGCTGCTGGCCTGACAGCTGTACTCGGAGCAGTGATCCGATCCAATGGAGATGTTGTCTCCTGCCCCCACAAAAGTATTGGCCGGGGGCAGTTCCTGCACGGCCTGGTGCTTTTTCCCGGCGGTGGGGGACTGCGGGTGAAGCTGGACAGTGGGCAGCGGCGAGCTGGATTTGTAATGCCTGGCCAGGTCCGGGCTGCCCGGGCCGCCGTTGACCGAGCGGTATCGGCCCATGCTGGGGCTGTCGGAGAGCTTCTCGTTGACGCTGTCGTAGCGCTGCCCGTTGGGCTTGGAGGCCTCCACGGTGACGATGCTGCTGTAGAGGGGCTGCTTGCCCTTCTTGCCTTTCTTGTCCTTCTTGGGCTTCTTGGCCTTGTCGTGCTGCTGCGGGGTGAAGAAGTCCTCGTGGTCTTTCTTGCCCGCCTCGTAGCCGTGCTTACTCTTGGAGCGGCAGTACCGGGCCATGACCACCACCAGGATGAGCAGGATCACCGTCATGATGCCGGCCACCACCCCGATGACGATGCTGAGCCGCTGCTTGCTCAGCTCGTAGCTGGGGTCGCCGGCGATGTCCTGGGCCAGGGGCGTGTGCAGGCTGCGGGCCACCTGGCTCTCCACCACGGTGGCGTTGGAGAGGCTCTCGTTGACGAAGACGTGGAGCAAGGCGGTGGTGGACTGGGGCGGCTGGCCGCTGTCGTTCACCTGCACCACCAGGCGGTGCAGGCCATAGTGCTTTGGGGCCAGCTTGCCCACCAGCGACACCACGCCGCTGGCCGGGTCGATCTCGAAGAGCTTGAAGGGGTTGCCACCGACGATGCTGAAGTTGAGGTCGGCGTTGAGGCCCGTGTCTGCGTCGGTGGCCAGCACAGTGGCCACCACAGTGCGCAGGTTGCTGGAGGGGGGCAGCACGGTGTAGGAGCTGTTACTGGGGAAAGTGACGGCGGGCGGGTTGTCGTTCTCGTCCATCACAAAGAGGGAGACGGTGGCGGTGGCCGAACGGGGCGGCTCCCCTCCGTCCACCGCCTTGACCTTGAAGGTGTAGCTGGTCTGCTGCTCTCGGTCGAAGGAGACAGTAGAGTAGATGGTGCCGGTGTCGTTCTCGATGGAGAAGATGCCGGCGGCCTGGTCCTGCTGTCCGGACTGGATGGAGAGGCTGAGCTCGGCGTTGCGGCCCCGGTCGGCGTCCATCACGGTCACCATGCCCACGGGGCTGTTGGGCTGCAGGTTCTCCTTCACGTAGAAGGTGAACACGTCCTGCATGAAGCGCGGCTCGTTGTCGTTGCGGTCGGCCACCCGCACCACTACTGTGGTGGAGCCCTGCAGGGCCGGCACCCCCTTGTCCCGGGCCGTCACCTGGAACTCGTATGTGTCGCGCTGCTCGCGGTCCAGCACCGCCTGCACCAGCACGTCCCCGGAGTCCGGGTCGATGCTGAAGATGCCGCCGGGCGCCTCCGAGGAGAGGGGAGAGGGCTCCAGCGAGTAGAAGATTTCGGCGTTCTTGCCGCTGTCCGCGTCCGTGGCCGCCACCGTGGCCACCCTCTCCCCAGGCGAGTTGTTCTCCGGGAAGGAGACCTCCAGCACGGCCTGGCCGAACACCGGCGGGTTGTCGTTGGTGTCCGCCACCCGCACCAGCAGCGAGTTGTTGCTGGACAGGCTGGGGCTGCCCGAGTCCACGGCCACGATCACCACGTTGTAGTCACGGACGGCTTCGTAGTCGAGCGGGGCCGAGGTGTGCAGGAAGTACTTGCGCTTGTTCTGAGGCTCCCCCTCGCCCTCGCTGGCCGGCTTGAGCTGGAAGGGCACGTCCCCTACCACCGTGCAGGTCACCACGCCGTTCTCGCCTTGGTCGCGGTCGGACACCTGCACCAGGGCGATGGGGGTGTCCACCAGCACGTCCTCGGCCACGCTGGCCACCCCGTCCCGCAGCGGGATGCGGCCAATCTTGCGGATGTCGATGGTGGGCACGTTGTCGTTCTCGTCGCGGATGTTCAGCACCACCGTGGCCTTGTCGGTCTTGGGCGGCTGGCCCCGATCCCGGGCCATGACGGTGAAGCGGAGCTGGTTCACCTCCTCCCTGTCGATGCGGTGCAAGACGCTGAGCCAGCCCGAGGTCTCGTCCAGCCGCAGCAGGCGCCGCACCGACTCGGTGGCCGCCCCGAAGACGTACTCGATCTGCCCATTCACCCCCACGTCCAGGTCGGCGGCCCGCAGCTGCAGGATGGGGGTCCCGGGGCTGCTGTTCTCCGCCAGGTCCGCCTCGTAGACGCTCTTCTCAAAGCGGGGGCTGTTGTCGTTCACGTCGGTGATCAGCACCCTCAGGATGGCCTGGGAGGAGCGGGCCGGGTCGCCGCCGTCCCGCACCCTCAGGCTCAGTTCATAGGAGTCCCTCTGCTCTCGGTCCAGCGCCCCTTTGACAATCAGCTGCGGCTGCTTCTCCCCATCAGGGGTGTCGGCCACCTGTAGCTCGAACACGCTGCTGCGGGCTGCCCCGTCCGGCTCCTGCCTCCTCTTACTGCCGCCGGGGTAGAGGGCGCTCTCAGCTGCAGAAGCCGACCCCCCTCCTCCGCGTCTGCCCCCGTCGCCGCCGGGCTCCTGCAGCAGCTCGTAGCGCTCGATGCCGTTGCGACCGAAGTCTCTGTCGGTGGCAGTGGGGAGCAGATAGAGGGTCCCTACGGGCCGGTTCTCCTCCACGGTAAGGGTGAGGACAGGCGAGGGAAAAGTGGGGGTGTTGTCGTTGATGTCCAGGATGATGACCCGGCCCTCGAAGAGGTCCACCCAGCTCTGCGAAGGGCCGATTACCGAGACCTCGAAGTCCAGGAAGCACTCGTTCTCATCGAAGATCATCTGGCACTGCGGCAGCTTCTCGCGGTCTATGCGCCGCTCAGTGGTGCTCAGCTCCCCGGTCATGTTATCGATCTTCAGGTAGTCGGAGCCCGACTCCAGGCTGAATGTCACCTCTCCGGAGCCCGTTACGATGCCCAGGTCTGAAGCCACGTTGCCTATGCGGATGTCGGCAGGTCCTTCCTCGGCCAGCCGGTACCTCAGCAACTGCTTGGCCGCGGCCAGGCTGACCCAGAGTGGAGGAGGCAGCAGGAGCAAGAAGCAGCAGCAGCAGCAATGCACAAAGCCAAAGAGAGTCCGCATCTTCCTCATCTTCTTCGCACCAAAATCCCCCTCCTCTCTCCCACCAACTCCCCTGACAAGCCAACAGAAATGCTCAGCGTGTGGATGATCAATTATAAAATCCTTCTCTTCCGGGAAACTTATTGTCTCATAACTTGTGCAATCAGTGATCAAAACCCTGGTGTTGGCTCCTCTCCTCCCTTCCTTCCAGTTGCAATATGCTTACCGTTCATGGGACAGTGTATTTTGCTTTTTAAAGATTCATCTCAACAGATAGGACGGGATTTTTCTCCTCCTCCTCCTCTGGTTTTACTGTAATCACTTTGCAAGGTTTGTAATAAAAGCAGGAGCAGCACGGTGCTATTCGAAGCCCCCCCTCTCTCCCCAGGTCGTCTTCTTTGCTCCTAGAGTTAAGTACAATTCACACTCTTCTCCCTCTCTCTCTCAGCCGTTTACTACTAGGGCATTAGCTCTTTTCTTTCCCCACTCTGCACGCACACGGAAAAAAAAATGTGAATCGCCTCATTCAAAGGGGTTGTGTCCGGAAAACTCCCAATCCTCTTAGCAATGGGCAAAAAATACAATTAAATAACTGATTAAAAATAAAATTAAAAAATAAAGAAAAATACCAAAAAAATCCCCAATAATATCGGTAGCTGTACAGTGGGTAGGCGAGAACCCTTTATATCACAGAGCAGTCCACAGAAAATCCGCTTCGGTTAGCAGAAAAGCACCCAAATCCATCTTCACAGATTGCCTAAAATGTTCAGTTCTTTCTCCGTAGAGGATTTTTTTAATAACTCTGCGCAAGGTCATTAGTCACAAAGCAACGATACAAAAACTGCAGAAGCCGTTTGCCCAGAATTTCCAAAGCTGGAGCAATGCACATACACACACAAAAAACAGTCCCAAGTTTGTTTTTGCATCCGCAGTTTGTGTGTGTGCCTTACCTGCATTTGCACTGCATGTGTTATAGCAATCTGGATCTGCAGCACTGTGAGAGCGATTCACAAATGAGATTGCAGTCTCTCTCTCTCTCTCTCTCTCTCTCTCTCTCTCTCTC